CATTGACTGTCAGATTACCCCATTTGGTGCTCACTATCTTGAATAAATTTTCGAATGTGCAAGCATACTGACCATTATGGAAAGTGCCATTAGCGCTTCTAATGTCAAGTAAACCAGTGACGATCTGTCCCACTGTCCTGGTGCGCAGGTGACCTGTCAGGTTTGTACGGAACATGGGTGCAGTGGTGTTCCAAACCAGTTGCGGCAGTGGATTGCCAGATGCTGAGCATGTCACTGAGTAGTTCTGCATGTTATCGAGTTGGATAGTTTCTTGTAGGTCTAATTCCAATGTGGCTGGGACTGGAGAAAGCAGATGCACACAATGAATAGTATACTCAGCAACTACAATGACAAAGCCTGTTTTTAAACTTCTAACTACCAACCCTCAGCCGCGCCACCACAAGCCTCGCCACGTGGCTAGAAGATATTGGTTTGCTGCTGAATGCAGCAAAAACTCAGCTTCTCTTCATAAAGCCCCGTGGCGCAGATGACACACAGCCCGAGGTGTTCTGCCATGCTGACAAACTTGCTGTCACACCTTCGGCTAAGTATCTCGGGATAATACTCGATGAGGAGCTGTCCTGGAAGCCCCACATTGCACACCTGAGCCGCAAGACTGATAGGACCATTGGCCAGCTCTGGAGGCATGGTCAACGACTCAGTTTGCGTGCAAGACGCACTTGGTTCCTTAGCATGGTTCTCTATCAGCTATGCTATGGTTCGAATAGCTTGGACGGCTGGAGAAGAGTTTCAAAGCCGGCATTCGTGCAACCTTGCAACAGCGCTTTCTCATCCCCACCGCACCGCTTCTGGCACTTCTTAGTATTGTCAACCTGGCACACACACATACGCTCAGAAATTTCTAACTATTGTACCCCGCTGTATCATTGAATTTTGTAGCCCACTCCTACAGCAACCCTTTACAACGACTGCTCCAAGCACCGTGCAAAACGATCAGCGCATCACTAGGGGCCAAGTTTCCAACTTGCTCCAAGTCCGTTTCCTTCGCGAGCCTGCTGGTCGCTCGAGTATGTTTCACGGCAGTATTGCATGGAACGCCCTCTCGGCTGATGCAAGATCGATAACTGTTGCCGATCAATTCAAGGGAGAACTATCTGATAGTGACCTACTTAACTTGTAACTCTATGCCAACAGTTAACACCTTTCGCTGTACTTCATGTTCCCTGGACTGCTAAAAATTGTGCCCATCCAACAAAGTCTGCCAACGTTCACACATATCTTTTCATGAAATGCTTCCACTACATATTATTTGTTATCACAATTAAAATAATTTCCACAAATTGAGTGTCAGCATACACACGTAACAAACACTTCTACAATAATAATAACTATATCGCTTGCATGTATTTATCTCTATTTAGCTCTATACATTTTAACTGGGTTCAAGGGAAAGAGACAACATTTCCTCATATGAATTCCTTCATCTTTCTGTGAGAACCGAACCTATGGGATGGTGAGAAGGCAATCATGCCTGTGTAATTGGTGAAGTAAAAAATAAAAGCCAAAAACAACAACAACAACCATATTTTTCTTTTATTGGCCACAGGCCATCGTGAGAATAAAAGATTTCAAACCATTCAAGGTTGATCCACGTGGATCGATGCAAAATGCGATCACTAAATAATTCACCACATGCTCGAATAGTGTCGGATCAAAGCAAATGAGAGCTCTACGTCTTCAAGAAGACCTTAGCTATCAACTACAGGTATCGCTTTCACTCCTTGGTGGAGAATTGGTGAATGACGAAGCTCAAAACTCAACCAAATATGCGCAGCGCCATCTGTCATGAATAGCTCGCGGATTTGTAAAATCACAGCTCATAGAAACTAGTGGAAGTTCTCATGAAGTTATCTGAAACCCGAAGGACTTCTAGCCCCAATACGCACAGGAAAGCAAAAAGTTAGAGTTAAGCGGGATTCACAGAAGCTTTTTTGCGATGCGAACTCGCGAAATACCATTCACAGAAGAAGTCAGCGATGCGACAAAGTCTTGCTGATTTGGGTACGTCACCATGGTATTCGCGCGGTTTGGTACAACTTGTACAAATTTATAGGCAACTCTTGAACCTTTGTACAACTTTGCTGTAGAAAAGGCCAACATCGTACGCCAAATCGCTTGTCGCATCGCAAAAGTTGAGCCAAGCTCAACTTCGGCGATGGCCCTGTTGCGGCAGTTGCGTGGGGTCCGCGATGGTTGCGATTTAGGGAATCCCGGTTTCGCGGCTGTCGCATCGCGTGTCGCATCGCAAAAAAGCTTCTGTGAATCCCGCTTTATGCTCAGCGTGAGGGCAACTCAAAGTCTTTGAATGCTCACTTTTGATCGCGCAGGTAGTAGAAGGGGAGGAAGTTGGGTGTTTTCTTTGCCTTGCATCGTCAAGTTGTAGGTAGACAGACCGCTTTGTCCAATGGTCTTGCTAGTATCGCAATCATCATTCTGTAATGTTGAACATTCTTTGTTGCAGAGGGACATAGCTCGTGCACATCTTCATGGCGCATTCCTTCCCCTCATTGTAACTTTCCCGCACCTGAGCCTTCCAAGTTGGAACAGGACCGTTGGAGTCGGTACGACTGGTACGACCATGGCGTACCTCCTCTGGCGACCGGTGGTCACCGTGAAACGCTCAGAAAAGCAATAAAAAAAAAGTTTCGAAAGTTGGAGATTTTCCAGCGTCGATCGGCGAGTCGTACCTGTACCCCTACAGTCTATTCAGAAAAAGATGGACTTCTAGCTTTTGGCCATAAATGGGTCAAACGTTGAGTTTTTTTAGAATTTTTTCTGCAATCCCCTATGGAGTCCTCTTCCAATTATGTTTCAGAAGTCTATTTCTCCAAAAAGCAAGCCATAGCAGGAATAGGATTTTGGCCAGGTTTTGCCCCAAGAGCACTGAATTGGGAAAACCCATCAAAATCCAGGCCGTTTGACCCTGCCTGCAACAGTGCATTGCACGGTTCGAACCCCAGTTCAGGTACCCTTTTTGGACCCTTTTTCAAATTTCAAATTTCACAGCACTGTACTGTGTATGATAAAATCTTGAAAATCGCCTAATACGGGAGCTCGCCAGAGCCAGGGCCCATCTTTTTGTGAATAGACTGTAGGCCATGTAGGTCAACCCTACACTAAGGCTACTATACAGGCTAAAAGACTCTTGTGGTAAGTTTGAGATAGATTGCAATACGCTGCCGTTCACCGCCATACTTCCGCAGCAGCAAAGCTTTGGCCGCGTTGTACGCAGCAGCTGAATATCCGAAGCTGTCAATGGCACGCAACGGCTCTCCTTGCAGGTACTAGCGCAGACGCAACATCTTGCAATCTGCTGTGACTGGTGCCGTGTCAATGCAAGTCGAGAATGCGGCCCACCAGGACTGGAAGCAGCGCTTGTCTCCGTCAAAAACTGGGATAAGAATCTTCTGGAGATGCGCCCAAGCATTCCGATACTGAGTGGTTTCTGCAACAACCGGTGCGCCGTGGGCTGCCCGAGGTGATGCTGCAGCAGTTGGCAGCTGGAATGCAGTGTCGGGATGCTCACTCCACTGCCGTGCAATATCAGAGTCCATGTAACCCGGAACGAAGGACCTGCCTGCAGGCCTCAGACGTCTTGCGCCAGTGAGCAATGGTGCGGTCCTTTCACCTGCTGTGGCATGTTGGGTAAATTGCACAGCTCGTGCTCCCGGAGTCCCCGCTGACACAGCAGACCCCACACTCAATACGCTCACAGCACTGGCATTGCTTGGTGAGTTACCATCCACGACTCGTTTCTCCGTCCTCATGCTGCTGCTGCCGATGCTTGAGCTACCAGGCACTGTGCGGTCGCTCGATGCAAGAGGGAGCGGGGAGAACCCAGCACTGTGGAGCAAACCTGGGGCAGTATCCATCAGCTGTGGCTCCTGTTGCTGTTGAGTGCTGTACAAAACACTTGCTGCTTTCTCCGTAGCATCAGAATAAAGCTCCTCAAGTGTCTCCAGCTCGGAAATAAGTTTCCTGCGTTCCTTGATTTCCTGTTTGTCACGGTGCTCGCGAACAAGCTCAGGAGATCGCCAATGACGCTCGTTGAACGCTGGTGTATCCTCGTTAGTGCATCTAACTCGGCACTAGAGACATGTTGGCCGTGGGCTATTTTGCTCAAAAATCCATGACGAGCATTCGTGAACTGGCTCTTTGCCACAGTTTTGAGAACTCTCAAATTCTCATCGCTCGACTCTACTTCGTCGTTGTTCGAAACGACGTCCTGTTGTGCACCATTTTCAGGAACCTGCTGTTTCTGGTTTCCACTGCACGTCGCCTGTGCGTCCTTTGACGCGGCTGCAGTTTCTTCTGAACTACCTGGAGCGGGATCTGACGCACCTTCGACTGAAGTACTGTCCAACACTCTAGTTACTGGGAGTAACCATCCTCTGCTACCATTGGAAATGAGGCCGAATGGGACAGTGCGTTTCAGAGGTGTTCATCAACTTTCATTACTTTTCAGACGAGCAAAACCAACTGGCTGACAACGTCTTGGCAAGAACGAAAACCGCCAGAACAGAACGGAAAACAATTCCAGTGTTGCACAGTCCATTTCAAAACTATAGACGCGTAGGGTTTTGGAAATATTTCAAATTTGGCGAGAACTTTTTGAGAATAGTTTCCGGAATATTGCTCAGGTCTGTTCCACAATTACTCTCATAATTATAGTTTCTAAACGATTGGATAACAGACGCCCAATTTGGAAAAATGTATGCACAAAGTGATAACAGATTTTGTGTGATATAGATGCTGGCATAACGGTGTTTGCCTAGGTGAAGTAGGCTTCTCCCCCTGGCCCCCGCCACACAACAACGCAAACTCTTGATTGTATCTTCAATACTTATATTATACCAAGACATGACGAGGGCGCAGGAGGAGAGAGACAAACTTGGAGACGACAAAAAGGACAACGGGAAGACTCACGGGAAAAGACTCCAAGAAAACAACAAAGAACAAGCAGTAATAAACCGACGACAAATCGAGACGACCAATCAGGGACCAATACGTACAGAACACATGACCAAGACCAAGACAACCAGACCACGGACGAATCACACACGACTCTCATTCCCAGACCAAAATAGCACTGCGCATGCACAGCATTCACTTGACAGTCACTCTCACACCGACGGAAGCACATCCTCGCACTCTGACAACGCGTACTCTTGCATGCACCACATACCATAAACGTCACACATCACACCATACTCGCGCATACACCTAGACCAAATATGACATCAGACACTGGACTCCACAAGACAAAAACCAAATACAACGACATGCGTAAATCATAGTCGTAACATAAATTCGCAACTTAGGTACGCGTCTATAGTTTTGAAATGGACTGTAGGTTGTATCCAGAAAGATAAGCACGAGCGATTCAAATAAATTCAAATAACAGCAGCCACGTGGTGCATACGACGCATCACACGGAAAAGGCATGTATAGTCCAAGTATGTCGCGGTGGCGTGCAAGGAAGAGGGAGTAGTAAACTTACTACTATGTAACATGCGATATATGGAATGCATCACGACGTCACAATCAGTGTGTCTTATCGGAAGACCTTCTGAACAGAGTCTTTAGCACTTCAAAAAGTCCTCATGTACTGTACCGTAGACCCATGCACACGTAATTGCTGCTTGTCGCGTGAAAAGCACTACATGTACTTTTGCTGTAGTACAGTGCTCGCAGCACCTGAGGTATCACAATTGGCGAGAGCACGGGCTGTTTGCGACACTCATGTGGATCGATCTCACGCATATGGACCACGCGAAGCCGCTTCCAGTCCTCCACCATCCAGAGTAAAGAACCTTTTTTATATGGACATGGCTCGCACGTGGTATCCTGTCTTTGCCCCTCGTTTGGGGACTCGCGGCTTGATTCTGGAAACTGCTTTACCTCCTCGCGAAAACTTGACTGTTGTTTGTATGTTGAGTCACAAGACGCAGTAAGTTAGTTGTGGTGATGCAGGATGGATCCAGGACCAGATATTGAAGACAAGCCGTTACAGCCCCGAGATTTGATTTCCCTAAACGTAGTTTTGGCATCAAAACCGTCGTGTGGCGATCGTTTCAACCGGTATGGTTCGATGAATTCCCGTGGCTTCACTGGGATGTTGCCTCGTCTAGAGCATTTTGCCATATCTACATCCGTGCGTCCAGGCACAGCCTTCTCTCTATGAACAATGCGAATACGAGTTTTATTTCTTCTGGTTTCCAAAACTGAAAAGAGGCGAAGAGAGTTATTACGAAGCCTAGCGAGTCTAGCTGCCATAGCGAGGCTGTGCAGCGGTTGATGGCGATGCCTAACACCAACAGGGACATTGGAGAAGCCCTGAACTCCCAGCTGTCTGTGCAGCGCCGTGACGATCGCGAATGCCTGCTCCAAGCTCTCTGCAGTATCCGGTTTTTGGCCAGGCAAGGATTGGCTCTTCGCGGAACATGCAACTTCATCCAGCTGCTGAGACTTGTGTCAGAGCAGGATGATACGCTGGCAAAGTGAGTGGAGAAGCGCACACACAAGTACACAAGTGCTCCAGTGCAGAACGAAATCCTGAAAGTGATGGCCATGAGGATCCTGCGTCAGCTGGCCTCGAACATCAGGAGCAAGTTCTTCTCCATCATGGTTGACGAGACAACAGACTGCAGTACCTGTGTATTGGTGATCCTATGGATACACAAAACCTTAGAGCCACAAGAAGACTTTGTTGAGTTCTATGCCATTGATGAAACCAATGCAGAAACCGCTGTTGCAGTCATCAAGGACAGTCTTGTTCAGCTTGGCCTGGGTTTAAGCGACTGCCGGGGCCAGTGCTATGATGGAGCAGCAGTGATGAGAGGAGCGCGGAACGGTGTGGCCAAACAGATACTGCAGGAGCAGCGCAAGCAATCTTCACTCACTGTTATGGCCACTCCCTGTATTTAGCTTGCCAAGATCTGGCCAGGAATGTCTCACTTGTGAAAGATGCATTGTATACCACCTTTGACTTCAGCAAGCTGCTGAACTACTCTGCCAAGCACTCTGCTGAATTTTCCAAGTTGAAGAAGGAAGTCGCCCACTCCCGAGGAGCCAGAATTTCGCACGCTATGTCCAACTCTATGTCCAACTCAATGGACAACGAGGGCCTCAATACCGTTCTTGTCAACAATGGTGTGCTCCAAGCCAGTGCGGAACACTTCACGAAAATGGAAAAGTATGACCAGGAAATGTCTGCCAAGTGCAACAGCATGCGATTCCAGCTCGCATCATTCAACTTCCTGTTTGGTGTTTGTCTGGGTCATTTGATTTTTAAACTGGCTCATAACCACAGAATTGCCCTTCGGAAGAAGTGTCTTTCCGCTTCGGAAGGCCAGCAGATGGCTCGGAAAACCATCGCAAGCCTCAAGTTGCTGCACACAGTTGAGGAGTTTGAAAAATTCAGGCAGCAGACAAGAGCAACTGGACATTAATGAACCACAGCTTCCCCGCAAGCGTCGAGCACCAGCCAGGTTTCAAGATGGATCATCACCACCTCACTTTGCGCAATCAGTCGAAGACCATTACCGTCTAATATACTACCAGGCCATCGACTCCATTCTGTCTGCTATTGAGGAGAGATTTAACCAAGAAGGCTTGAACAGCTACCTTCTTCTGGAAAGTCTGCTCCTCAATGCTGCATCTGGCCAAGAGATTGAGCAGCAAGCTGTCAAAGTGGAGGAGATCTGGGTGAGGATTTCAATGTGCCTGTCCTCCGCAGCCAGCTCCATGTTTTAAGAGCACACTCCGTTACCACTGCTGGTAGCAGTCTGTCATTGAAGGACGTTGTGGAATACTTGAAATCTCAGGCCAGCTGAGACACATTCATGAGCGAAGTCGTCACCCTGGTAAAGCTGGTACTGGTGATACATGCAACCAATGCAACCAGCGAACGTTCCTTCTCTGCTCTTCGTCGGCTCAAGACCTACATTAGATCCACGATGATGCAAGAACAGCTCTATCACTGTGCACTGGTGCATGTTATGAGGGATGAGTGTGACTCACTCGACGTAGTGGACCTTGCTGAGAACTTTGTCCAAGGCAAGGACCACAGGTCCCAAGTGTTTGGCAAGTTTCGGTAACTCTGAGTGCACTGAGCCTCTATGCCGCATGTTCACAGACTTTATTATCCGTGCGGCAGAGAATTTTCAATATCCATAATTATTATTGCAGCGCAATTTGTTAATCCTAAGGCAGACATCAATCTATAACCCAGCTGTGTTCTGATGCCACCCATTTTGATTGTTATAAATAATTTTCTCGACCAGCATCTGCGTTGCTGTATGACCTATTACTATTTTGTGCTGCGGCACGATTCATGGTTAATTTGGCAGAAGTTGCAGAATGCTGGACTTGCTGCACAATGTTCAAGATATGCATCACGGGTGTTTTATATTGCATGGAATCCCAAAATTTTCTAACTCGCGGGTTCCACCCCCGCACCCCGCAAGGGGCTCTGCCCCCTTGACCCTAGCCGAGAGACAACCCGCACAACCGGCTGTACCACTCGCCAACAGCCTCCAAACGGCCCTGTGGAAGATTCTCGGTTTGCACTTTGTAGATGTGTTGGAGCTAGCTGTCAGGTCATTGGATGTCTCAATATGCCTGTCAGTTTGTGTCTTTTTGTTGCACAATTTTACTGTATAATATCTCGTTACATTGATGGACTGTTTGTCATAACTCATAGCTTATTGGTTACATTTTAAATTTGTTATCTTAAAAAAAGGATGCGTCCAGAGTCGTTCGCCGGTTTTGACATCCAGAATTCTCTAAAATTTCATGTCGATAATCAAGAAAAAGAAACACAGAGATCGTTAACTTCAGAAGGCGTAAAAACATAATTATTATGGTCTTACAGTATTTTGAAGTGCATGCACAGAGCAAGTGTGGCCAGGCATGTTACCAGGTTGCCTTGAAACTACTCGGGGAGTGACAAGTGCTATCACCTCCATGGGAAGTTTGCCCTGGGAGTGACAAGTGTGACCCCTAAATGGGAAATTTGCCCCAGGAGTGACAAGTGGAAAGTTTGCTCTGGAAGTGGCACATGTGACCCCTCCAAGGCACTTGTAAGTGAAAGGACGTAGTTGGGCCAAGATGGTGATGGTGATGGTGATGGTGATGGTGCTAGCTCAAGCAAGTTGCCCTAAAGTGACAAGGCAATGCGCGCGGACAAAGCCCACTCAAATGTGTCATATCAATGACTTACAGAGGACATTCAAGCTGACAATGGCCGAGGACGAATATGTAGAAGACACAAGAGGACCGGTATAGTCTGTGGCCAGCCGGTTACCAATGCCATTGTGAGCGACACAGGTGTAGTTCAGCAAGTTGCTTCTGCTGACATTAGACAAAGAGAGGTTCGATCTGACGGAAATCATACCGCTGGCCAGGGTGACGGGTGCACCTGCCGCAAAGTTGACATCCGAAGAGTTCTGCAGTTCCTCAGATGGAGTATGCCATGTGATAGCGGGCTGTGGGTAACCATCGTATTCACACTCAATTACAACATTGGCCGACTCATTAACTGTTATTGTCGGAGAAATATGAGTGTTGCTCGGTGATGCTGCAGGAATCATGAAGAAAACGGAAATTGACAAAAAACAACAAGGATAGAATTGTTGTACATGTGCCTGCATGTGTTATCTCAGGCTTTGTCGTATCTGCTGCTGTATTTGTGACTCTGTGCTGCTGACCCGTACATGCTGCTGCGCTGCTTTGTTGCTGACACGTGCACCTTTGTGTGCTGAGTACACCATTTTTTGTGCTGACGAGCGCACCAATTTCTGATATCATGTTTCCTTTTGCCATGTCAGTCGTCAGTCGTTCGTCGTTAGAGTCAGTCGCTCGTGGTCAGTGTTAGTTGTTAGTTATGAGTTCTTCCGTCGCTGCTTGAAGTAAAGTCTAAGAAAAGCTCTCTCTCTCTCTAGCTCTATAGAAAACCACTTGACTAGTCCGTTTGATGTGAGGCGTGGTGAGGGTAACGTAGAAGAGGCAGCTCGTTCTCCCAACCGAGACGACATTTTGCGCCCAACGTGGGGCTCGGTCTCATGCTCTACCAACTGAGCTGAGCATCTGATCATGGTGAGCCAAGGTCTGCCAGGTGGTCTGCAGGAATCCTGCGCTTTTTTGTATCGGTTTGCCTTGCGGGTGTTAGGGTTTCCGTGTGTTGCTGGTTGGCCCTTGTGCGTCCCAGTCGGTGCCTGACAGTTTTCTTCTTCGGTTTTTTGGTTTTGCGAGCGGATGTACTATATGTTCCGTGTTATTCAGGTTCGATCCCTGTAGGTTTTCAGATTCAATCCTTGTGGTTTTTTCAGGTTCAATCCCTATGGTTTTTTTCAGGTTAGAGACCTGTGGTTATTCAGGGTAGCGCCCTGTGGTTTTTCTTCATTATCTTTTGCGTATTGGTAACGATTTGTTTTTGTGTCCTCAATGGTGTCCTCACTGCTTAATTGCTCCTGTTTCAGTCGACGTGTTCTTCCTTGCTGTTTTTCCATTCCTTCGTGTGCTTTCCTGATTTTTGGCAATGGCTGAGTTGTTTGCGTCAGTCCTTCTCTCTTTCTGTGTGTGTCCTTGTGATTCTCGGAGTTTCCGTAGCGCCATCGGTTTTCGGACAGCTGGCCAGTGTGCGTCCTGCTGCCCCAGTCTTCTCGGTCGGTGCGTGCCGTCGGTCTCGCCACTCCTGGAAGCGTCGCTGGGTCCGTCGGCATAACCTGTTTTCTCATGCATTTGTACTTTTGTTTGTCTAGACTGTTGGATGGGTGGCGTACTAGGTTGGTGCTGTTCTAAGAATTAAGATCCAAAGGGACAATTACAGGTCAAACAGCTCGCCAGCCGGGGTCCTCTGCAAAGTCTGTTACTTGCAGGTTCCGTTGATTGGTGCACAGTTTTGCGGGGCTCCCGACTGGTGTTAACCCTCCTGGCCTACTCGTCATGCGTTCAACAGTTGTGGTCCCACCTCTTTTGTGTTTTATTGTCGCCTGTTTATGTTGCTTCATATTTCATTTCCCCTGTCTTTCTCTCTACTTCCCCGGTCTGTCTTCGTCCGTTTTTTATACACTTCGCTTTTGCTTCCATCCACAGGAGTTGATGTCTTTTTTGGTAGGGGATAGTGTTGTACATGTGCCTGCACGTGTTATCTCTTTGTCGTAGCTGCTGCTGTATTTGTGTCTCTGTGCTGCTGACCCGTACATGCTGCTGTGCTGCTTTGTTGCTGACACGTGCACCTTTTTGTGCTGAGTACACCACTTTTTGTGCTGACGAGGGCACCAATTTCTGATATCATGTTTTCCTTTTGCCATGACAGTCGTCAGTCGTTTGTTGTCAGAGTCAGTTGTTCGTTGTCAGTGTTAGTGGTTAGTTATGAGTTCTCCAGTCGCCTCTTGAAGTAAAGTAATGAAAAGCTCTCTCTCTCTAGCTCTAGAGAAAAACCACTTGACTAGTCCGTTTGATGCGTGGCGTGGCGAGGGTAACATAGAAGAGGCAGCTTGTTCTCCTTCCGAGACGACAGAATGGTTAAGGTACAGGTTATTAGAAACCTGACACAGAGTTTCATGTTTACTTGGACAGCCTTTTCATGTTGCTTCAAATGCAAATGGAAGTTTCAGTTATCACCAACCCTCACCGAGCCCAGCTCACGCCGCTACCATGTGTGACCTGAGCTGGGCGCCCTGCCATGCAGTATGGAACTGTTCTCAAGTCAGTCACGTATTTGGTAGCCCAGTGTGCTGTCTACCGGATCACAGCATTTAGAAGTGCCAAATGCGGCAGGGCCAGTCTCAGGCTGGTCGCGTATGCGGCAGGTTGGCAGGTGACTGGCAAGGCTGCATTCGCATTTGGATCACCGAAGTCATACAGGTGCTGGACAGGAGACTGCGGTCTTGAACATTATCCTTTCGAATTGTCACATGTTGTCACATGTTGCACGTTGATACTATTAGTGTATTGTAGTTACGAATTCTGTACAGAACTGTCACATGCTGCAAGGGCAGTATTGTCAAGACATGCTTAGTCGCCTGCAATATTGGTGCGGTGCGTATTACTGCTATGTATTTCGCGAGTGTAATATTTATTTGTTAGTCTGTTAGAATTACATCACGAGTGCATATCTGTTACGTCTACGTCGAGACACATTTTATGATACAGTAATTGCTATGTGTGTTCGTACCATGACATGTTCACGAGCGGAATATCTTGTGAATTGTTCTAATGTATTATATAAGTAGAATTGTTGACACACTAATTGGTTGCAATGTACATGTACTTACTAGTACTTGATCCGTTGCATTATCGCCATCCGCGGCAACTTCGCTACGATCTACTTGGCGAAACTTACTCTCGCTGACAGGGTGTGCTGTCACCCTGTCGCTGGGTGCAAGCACCCCTTGACAGACACTGTTTTCACCTCCGTAAGGCCATCCAGAATTAATTCGTTGTTTCGGGTCACCCGACCGACCGTCTTTTTTCACCCGACCGCAAAATGTTTTTTTCTATAGTGCATGCAAATGTACAGACTAGACTATGATTGTACACACGCGACCCTAATAATAGCAGTCCAGATATCGACCTCTGAAGCAGCCATGCCTAGCCAAATGACAGGATGCAGCGCTTGGTGACGACGTTGTCTTCTATTTCCAATCCGCAATCGGTCCTGCAACAGCATCAGCTCCGCCACCTTGTCGCTATTTACAGAAGTTTTCAAGGTGGGAGCTGCTCGCCGGTCAGACTCATTTGCCAGCGAGGCCAATATCTGGTCCTGGAGCTGGAGGGGACCTGGATCTGATGCCAGTGATGGGACAATGACTCCACTACAGTCAGATTTGATCGACTGGCTAGATGGACAAAAGCTATTCGATGTACATGTACATGGACGTAACCAAAATAAAAAATAAACCCGACCGACCGACCGACCCTGGTATAGATGAGTGAAGTGACCCGAAACAACGAATTAATTCTAGGTGGCCTAATCAACAATTCTTTATTCTTTCATTTCAGCACATTGCAAGTAATTATTAGTTTCTGCTTGTTCTGCATTCAAATTAATTATTGCTTTTCTTTTCGTTGCATGCACCTGCACTCCGCGCTGCACGCGGATTTTGGCAGTCGCCATATTTAGTATCTCTATGGCTACGATGATCATGCATTTTCTGTACGCTGCATTTTCTCTCTATGCCACGTCTTTGTGTGCATGCATGCAGCGCAAGCCAAATGCACGCACGCTGCACGTTTTGCTCAGGACAGCGATTTGGCGATCGTTGTTCGGTGTGTTCTTTGGTGTTCTTGTTGGAAACAAGTGGTAATGTCGATTAAAGGAGTTTCTGGGTTTTTTGTGGTCTGCCTGACGATGGTTAGTTGCGGGACCAAGTCGCACCGCAACAGGTGCTTCGACTGCACCCCGTGGCGCACCAGGGAAGCTTCTGGGGCACAGGCAGCCTGTAAGCGCACTTCCATATCGGGTATGCACAGGTGGAGCAGCAGGGCAATATGTGTGCCGGAAACTCACCGTCATCCGGCTGACCTCTTGGTTGTGTGGTTTTACACAGCATGCACTCATTACTTGGTATTGCTTGCAGAAGGCCAGAATTTTTTCCTTTTTCGCCATTTCCCTTCTTCCATGCACAGCTTCATGTTAGAGCAGTAAATTGCAGTTAGGGGCTCAGCTGAGTCAAGCTGGACTCAGTTTGGCACAATACAACAAGCACTGTATCCACAAACAGTTGTGTGGTTATTGTGTGAGTGTATATGCAGGAGTCCACGGTCACGTGAGCGGGGAGTGATAAGTTCTTTTTGTTGTTGGGAAATTGGGTCATCGTGTCCACTTGAAATCTTCGAATCGCCCTAAAAATCGTCGAATTACACGATTTGTTTTCAGATCTCCAATTTTGGAATGTCAGGGAGGCAAACATGGAGAGACTTGTTGACGGTGGTAGGGATAGCTAACATTCTGTTCTACGGGTACGAAGCAAGAAGTCACTCTGCAAAACATGCTACTCGGGTTATAATTTTCTGAAATAATTTCAGGGATGAATTTATCCGGTATCGCATCTCAGTTTGCTACGCAAAATCGATCTACTGCTACTCAAAAATGACAGTGACATGCAGAAAACTGCCATACATACAGGTACAGGCTATCCATGCTTTTTGTAGCTTACACCACAATTGAGATTTTGCATAGCAAAAACTGCTATGCGAAAACATGACAGTAAATTCATCCCGGAAGGTGTTGAGGTGAGGTTTTTGTAAGTCGAAGCTATGGTGCCAAATGCAAGACTATGTCCAGTGCGTTGCATATGTTCAATTGTTTAAAAGAATCGCCAAAATGGCCACACACGCCCTGGTCGGGGCAATATCAGCAATGGCAAAAGTGAATTGTACCCAGGGCATATTGGTCATGATATAAACTATGTGAAGGTTAGGCAAGAAGTCGGTAATACAAGTAAAGAACAAAGTGGTTGCTTCTTCTGCGAGAGTGCAAACCAACACTTACAGAAGACGGTGAGATTGAGCTGTGATGATTCGTTCCGGTGCACAGTGTTAGCATGGGAACACCAGTAGAGACCAGCGTCTGCGAGAGATACGTTGTGAATATGTAGCACGCTGTAGGCCACCTTGGCAGTCTCATTCCTGTCCTTGGTGATGTTGCCATTCTGGACGGTTTGTGTTTTGTTGTTGAAGGTAGATGCTGTGCTGAACCACTTGATGGTCGGCAGAGGATTACCGGCTACAGTGCACTTGACTACAACTTCCTCCATGACATGGTAGGACAGTGCTCTCGGCAAGTCCATGCGCAAACTTGTGTCACCTATGGACATCACAGGCAATACATCCCAGTAAGAAGATATTGAGTCTTCGTTCAAAGAATAGATGGACACGCTGTGTGGAGAGACATTATTTAAATAGGAGCAATGGAGACTGTGGGGCTTGCGGGCATGACAACTAACTCTGGACACAAAAGAAACTCTTTGACCCAAACTTGTCATGGCATCAAGGGGCAAAGAGCGCAGAAAAAGGATACTTAAGTGCCCACGCAATGCGCAAAAAGGTCTTGGAGCTCTTCTGGATCTGTGTGTCTGCCGAGTGCACTAACCCAAATGTTCATTGATCCTACTGTAAGTAAATAACCGACGAGAAGACAATAGTCTGTTTTACACGTGGTTATGAGTGCACATTATTAAGATGAAAAAAATTCCCGAACGTTTTTTCGTGACCATCATCCGTGGAATCTCGTCACATCATACTGCTGATCCTACTGTAGTGGTTGCATTATTGGGAACGGCAATTGTTGCCATCACTGAGAGCTTTCTGTAAACAAATAATCTGCGAAGTTAGAAGTTGCGACTTCGGCGGTACTAGTGATGAAGATAGTTGCTCCTGATTGTGGCCTGCTCCGGATGGCAGGCGTGAGTCAGTTAAGTGTCAAGTTCGGGAGGAAGCATGTGTTCCACATAGGAGCAAACAAACTTCAAAAATAATCTACGCGGAGCTAAAAGTTTAATAATAGCTGTTGTGGACCCTTCAGATTCTCTAAAATCAGGAACGAACGACCACACGGTACGAGGACAACTATTCACTCTTGACAGTATATTTCACTTCGATCGACTATAACAATGAATAACTAACACTAAAACCACCAGGTAGTTATAGCGTGAAAATGACAGCGTACATGAGAAAAGCATACACATACAACATACAACTACAGCGCACACAGCAAACCGCACATAGCGCCTGTAGCGTACACCACGTCGTAAACATCAGCAGTACGGCGGAGCCGGGATACAACTGCATTGAAACGAACACAATGTCACAAGCGAGGTCTTTCACTCTCGAGAACTTGTGGTTTTGCAACATTCTCCCCACCAAAGGGCTTCTGACCGCCGTACAACAACTCACAAGTCAAAAACGACCGGGGCTCTGACTACACGCCCAGAACGAGTCATCCGCTGCTCTGGGGGTGGCCAAGGTGGAATATTGCGAGTCCTCACCATTTCTGCCAACTGAGCAGTGGTCTGCAGACTTGCGCACTTCAGATCAAGCTCTAACTTTGGCTTCACGAGAGCACATACCGGAATGACTGCGGAGCTACCCAGGATCGTGATGGCGAACTTGTCCATCCTCTATTGGGTTCATTCCACATTGAACGGCTTCACCTCAACATTCTCAACACCAACGTGCTCTGCATCGATTGCGGCTACCAATGCTGTAGTCACAAATGACGCCTTGGCACCCGAGTCCAGCAACACGCCTTGTCTCGCTTTGCGTCCTCATATGTACTGACGGCGATGCGCTCGTTCATCTTCTTGAGCTTTTCGTTAAACTCTGTGCGGAGCGCACCCTCTTGCCGTCTAGCACTGCGCTCTTTAAACTCCTCGCACTGTCGGAGCCTCTTCTTCACATGTTCCCTCAACTCATCGCCTTCCAATCCTAACAGAATTCCATTGGCGATAAAGCGGGCTTCAATGCGCGATCCATGATCCATAGTTCCTGTGCCATTCTCGCTTCGTATCCTGGCGTGGTCGCCAAATGTTGTGAACCCTTCAGATTCTCTAAAATCAGGGACGAACGACCACACGGTACGAGGACAACTATTTACTCTTGACAGTATATTTCACTTCCATCGACTATAACAATGAATGACTAACACTAAAACCACCAGGTAGTTATAGCGTGAAAATGACAGCGTATATGAGAAAAGCATACACATACAACATACAACTACAGCGCACACAGCAAACCGCACATAGCGCCTGTAGCGTATACCACGTCGTAAACATCAGCGGTATGGCGGGGTCGGGATACAACTGCATTGAAACGAACACAATGTCACAAGCGAGAAGGCCTTTCACTCTCGAGAACTTGTGGTTTCGCAACAATAGCCATGAAAAGTATGAATACAGCAGACATTGCTAAATACCTGCAGCAGTAGCTAATGCCATGTTTGACAATGGATCCGTACCATTGACCTGACTATCATTTCCAGTGCATACACATTTTTTTCTCTTTCTTTCTCCCCCTTCGCTACCTTGGGAAGAAATTCCCGTTTTGATTATTCGAAGTAAAACGAAGTAAAAAAAAACATCACCTCGCAACATGACAATTTGTGAGAGGTTTGAAATTGTGTGTTTCCAGAATTGATTTTCCAGCTAAAACGGATAAAATCATTTTAAAAAGCTCTAACAAATTGTCATGTTGCGTGGTGATGTCTGCAGTATTCAAAATTGTCATAGCTATTAGCGAGAACTTTCTCTTTGACTTAACATTTTCTGCTATGACAAGCGAGTAAGATTTTGAGAAGTGTTTATCATTTGAACACGCCCTTGTCTTGTGAATTATCATCAATTCGTGATGTACGCTCAGGATGTATAATCACACAAGAGTACAGGCTCAGCAGTGAATGGGTTAAAACATTCCTTTACATTTCTCAGACGTAATTTACTTTTGAAAAATTGTATTGGCCAGCTTTGTTGTT